TATCTAAAGCGCACCATGAACCGTTTACACTGATAGATTTGCTACTGTATGTTTAATGCCAGGCATCTTTGGTATCAATGTCCTAACTGTGTAAAAAACAGAGAACTAAACTTTACACATAAATGCTTTGGAAAACATGAGCAGTGACTCAATGTACAAGAGTTCTAGATAATGGGATACAACATGAAAAATGACCCATAAGCCCTCAGCAGAGAATCATTTTTTTTATAATAAAAACAATACAAATGACCCCAAACAATTAACATGACAAAGGTCAACAAAACTGACTACTGGGCACATCATATACACCAAACGACCATATATAGCACACCTTGTGACATACCGATGGAAACCGCCCTGTCAGCAATATGTTATCCCACTGTATTTCCACCCACCTGGCCTCTCCAGTAACCGTCTCCAGCTGGTTGACCCAGGCTTTATACACATCCACTGGGTTGGTGTTGATGCCTAAACTCTTGTCCTCAATAATGTCTTTGACTACTGGAGCCAGCAGTTGCCTGAGTGTGTTGTGGCCACGGGCACCTCTGTTGAAGCTCACTACCATCTTGATGACCGTTGGGTTCCCAGTCACAATGTCCTGGATCTGGTCCACCTTAGAACTGAGACACATGGGGAGGATGGTACAGTACTGTCCGCCAAACAACAAACAAAACTTGGTGCACATGCGTTTTGTAAATTCTAAACAACTCTTAGGATCGTATGGTCCCTCATGTATTTGTAATACATTGTAACCTTTACAGTAATACAATAGGAAAATAGGGACTTAAGATTAGCTGCAGTTCTCACTTGATTTCCTCTTCCAGAGCCGTCTTGAAGAGTTTGAGCAGCAAGTACTCCTCTCTCTGATTAGACGCGTAGTTGTACAAGGTGAAGACCACCGTGTCCATAAACTTAGTGGATTTGTTTTGGGGCATCTGGAAGATCAGTTTGGCCAGGTAGTGTGGGTTGGTCTAAAGGGGAAGGAAAGGAAATGTGTATGTATAAGTATGAATATCTTATAAAACCTTTTAAGTAGAGTAAATAGATGAAAGTTGGAGTTAAGATATATTTGTGCATCACCTGCAGCAGGTAAAAGAGATGTTGGTAGGCCTCCAGTTTCCTTCTTTTGCCTTTACTTAGACCCTTGATACCCAGTCTGTCTCCTGCAGTCAAGTCCTCTTTACTCTCTTTATTTTTTTTGTTCTTCATTTTCTTATTATGGGACACAACATCCTTTTTCAAAGACATAAACACAAAATGAGTTAAGCAGCTAAACTAGACAGGACACTATTACAGAAGATATAAATTATGTCATTCAACATACATCAGTTTCCTTGTACACATAAAAACAATGGTTGCCAACCTGCAACGTGATCCTGTTCTTCACCAGAAGTCCAATCTTTATGTCCATCAAGTTCAAGTCTTTCTCCATCTGCTGGTTGGAGCGAATATTGGTGACCACTTCTTCCCTAAGCCGCGTCACTTCCTGCTCTTCCTGGAGGTCCAGGGCGCTCTGCTCCAACAAGTGGACAAACTTGCGCACCACTGACAGAGGAGGGTCCTTGGCCCCAGCTAAGATTTGGCATTTAAGAAAGTCAGTAATAGCAAGCTACATTCACACACATGTCAAGACATTTATTTAAAGATTTCTATTTTAAAACATTAATTAAAACCAATATTGAAATATTCACTTCATGAAAACCCCAGACAATGTCTAGTCTCACATCAGAATAGTGACATTATATCAGTAAAGCTCAGCTGCAGGAGTGTAAAAGGCCTTTTGGACTCACTTAGGGTTCTGTAGTCATCCCTTGCTTTGTTGGCCTTTAGAAAAGCCTGGATTTTCACAATTTCTTTTTCCTAAACACACAGATCAATGAGTCTTACACAACATGGAACAAACAACCCAAATTACCCAAGAATTGCTCGTCATGATGTTGATTCACGGTGTTACTCACATGATCTTTGAAATACTGCAACCTCTGATTGTAGCTACGCTTGGCTTTCCACATTTTTGCCACAGCCTGGATCTAAAAGCATCAGTGTTTAATGTCAGGTATTTAATATGGCAGCCATGTTGTTAATGGTACAAATTCATTTAATCCATCTATGATGGTTATTTCAGTTTGTTGCGGAGGATTTCTAGAGATTGGTGCTAAAGCTCTCACTTACAAGAAATGGGTGCACAGCTTTAGAGTTGTCTAGTCATTCAATAAGTTTACTTTTTAATAGATTCTTTATCAAAAATGAACAGAATGTATCACCTTGACAATCGAAGAAACATTTTTCTGAAGCAAATTCATCCTGTCTTTGTATATTTTCCTTTGTTTGTAACCTTTCCAGCATGCCTGCAAAAAAAAAAAAAAGAAAAAGAAAAAGGCATTATTAATCTTATTAAGTGGTTGATCTGGTGTTGTCTTTGAGGAGTCACTGCTCTAAATAAACATGTTATGTGCTTTATCTGGTTTTTCCTTACAGAATGATGCAAACATAGAAACATATACTGTCAGTATAATATTTGCAAATTCACTGAAGTTGATCAGATTTCTGACAACAATGCTAGTGGGTCCACACACTACCTGCAATATGACGACATGTGGTTCCTGCTGGCGTAGATACTCCATTCTCTGGGCATGCCTTTTCCTGACCAGGTAACCTCTGACCCTCGCCTGCAGCTGGGTCACCAAGGCTTCATTGGCCATCCATAACTGCTCCCTGTTGTATTCTGCAGTCAAACAGCTGACAACACTCTAAAAGGAAAAAAAAAAGGCTTGTTTAAAGATTTTCAGAAAAGAAACTGACTCTAAAAACTACAGTCTGAATGTTTAATCAAATTATTAGCGTAATTTTAAAATCATTATGACTGAATCCACCCCATCTATTCCATCATTGGGCTGTAAGCATGTTAACACATCATTGCATAATAAAGTAGTGAAACTATGCAGTGCAGCAGCGGGTACCTGGATTTCCTCTTTACTGAGCTGGCCACCATTGGGTTCAAATCCTTCAGGCTCCTCCCAGGTGCCCTGTCCCGTCTCCAGGTTATAGTAGTAGTCATATCTGTCCTTCATGCAATGCTTCACCCACACACCATCAGTGCTGCCTGAAGGGAAGCAGAGAGAGCGCCCCTTTAGACCCAGTGAACGTCATATTGACACCCAAATCTGAAAATCAGGTGGGCATCAATTTCTGAAACACAGCTTCCTTTCTTGTGGTTCTTGTGCAGCAAGTCAAGTTACCTTCAGTGGCACTGCTCGCTTGTCTCTGTGCCAGTTCAGCCTGGTATGTGTCGGCACATTCAGGGAGCACCGCTCTCAGTCCTGCACTGGGAACTTGCAACGCCTGCAGTGTGTTCCGAGAGTCCCCCTCGGCCACTGTCCTGTTAATATCAGCGACTGCTCCAGCCACTAACAACGTAAACAAGATTGAGCCGAAAAAACTTGTTGAGTCAAATATGAAAATACAGCAACTGCAAAGTAAAGAGTGATGAGTAAGAAAGGAATAGTACAAAACAAGTAAAAACACATCACAATCACAGTATTGTGCCCACAATAATGACAGTATCAACACACAGGTCATCTTTATTATTTAGAAATAATTAATATGAAACAATGTGTACCAAAGAACATAGTCTTTGAGCCATAGCAACATTACATCATGTGTCATCATTTCAATGACAAACATCCGTAAATGAGACGCGACATGTGGCAGAGCAGTTCTGAGAGAAAATATCTGCAGGAAAGGAAAGAAAGACCAAAACAATCCTGATACCAAAGTATCAACTATGTATCACAAAAGATGAAGCCATGATTCATGGCAATATTGATCAAATCTGTTAGATGCCTACATGTGATCAAAATGTCTTTAAATGAATGTCATGCTGGCACACTGTCAACTGTAGCCAATAGCTGATGCAATCTATTATTAGAACAATAATGAGCCCGCTAGCATAGAGTGGTGTGGTGACGTGAAAATAATGCACATCCTCTGTACAATCACATTCTAGTACTCAATGTGAGAAGAAGTAACCCGGACCAGATACTGTTTGGATGAGTGACTTTAAACTCTGGGTACATACATGCCACAGCCTCCTCTTCACCCTGGTTGGCTGTGTGTATGGCCTCTTGGATTTGGTCCAACCACAGCACTGCCGACTCATCTCCAGAAGTCTACAATCAGGTGAATACACAAGGTCATTTCTCCTCTTTTCAGATGGAAGAGACAAAACTACAGCTCAGACTCACAAGGCATTGTTCACACACAATACCAACTTGATATCAAATTACAATTGTTTTGAAACTATTTGTCAAAACATTTGATGTTCAGGGTAAGAAATGATTGTAGTTATAATGCAACTTCATCAAGTTAGGATTGTGGAGATTTAGCTCTACGACAGTCGCACTTCATAGCAACACTGACAAAGCAAGCTGGTGCCATTACAGCATCGGCAAATAATAGACAGTACCATTTCCTCTGTGTCCAGAGGTAAGATCTAAGGAAAAGGAAAAAATGTTGATTGTTGACAATAGTTACACCACAAACATATCCTGCCCAGACTCACAGACCGTGACAATGTAACATCACAACAACCACAAAGAATGTTTATTCAGTGTGACTTTTCCGTTTGTTCTCAGGCTACTTTTAGAGAGCTCTGGTGGGGCCTGGGGTGTATCCCTGACCACAGGGCTAGCAGGAAGGAAGTCACCATTAAAACACACAGCAGACTAAACGCAGCTTGTTTTGTTTACATCTGCATCGAACCAAATTTTTCTGAGGAAAAAAAAAGGAGATAATACATCCATGGTATAGTTGCTATAGAACATAATAGTGTTGGATAAATAGCATATGTTTTCATGCCGAAGCTTACAATATCCAAAAACATCTATTACAGTAGTGACTCCTCAAATACACAACCAGGATGACCAACACTACAGTCAAATTTAATACCAAAACCCAGCTGTTGAAACTATTAGACACTGTCCTCCCCCCACGGTGAGTCAGTGGGCAGTTACTGACGCAGGCAGAAGGGAATTCAGTTTTCAAGCCTGGACAGGAAACGTGCTCACTGCACCGTTCAAAACAGACGAGCGCCCTACATACAGCGCACTCGCAGGAAGCCAGGCTCGAGTACACACCGTTATCAGTTCTACTGTTGTGCTGCAGAGATGCAAACCAGCAAATTTCACCGGTGGAGGACTCCTACATTTACTGAAAAGAAGCAACAACGAGTGGCGAAGACAAGAAACCTTCAAATCTCTGGGATATAGACGGGAGAGAGAGATGGCCGACCTTGTGCCAGGAATACTCATTTGTTTGATGGCAGTGCCAACCAGTCAGCACGATGGTAAGTTTATTAAAACACTTCTAGAGTTTAACAATAGAATGTGTATATGTTTAAGCTTGGGTCCAATATTTGATATTTATACTTGAAACATTATCTTTTTGGTACGCACCAAGTGGTTAACAAAACTATTGTTTAACTATTTTAGTTGTTAATACAATACAAAATTAAAATCATTCCAATATTTTATGATGGAAAGGTTTATTTATAAATGAACAGACAGCGTGATTAACTGGAATTTATGTTTTACTGTAGTTTCAAACATACTTTTACTTTAAGATTTAAGTTGCTTTGGAGCCATGAACATTGTTTTTCTATCTATTTATAGGAAATAGAACCTGGACCCAAACCAGTATTCCACCTGGTGCGATACCGAAGACCTTCAAGGGGACGCTGTACGAACGTAACCACACCAACCGCCTGCCAGACCCGCTGGATCCCAGCACAAACCCTCGACTGCATGTGAACCCGGAGGACCCAGTGACAGCCTACACCACAGGGGTCCTCAGCACCAGGGTCATTCCTTCATCATACATCCTGGCCATGCTGGTGGGTATCCCCTCCAACGCCTACATTCTGGCCTTCCTCAGACTCAGAGCGAAGTCCTCGTCCACATTACTTCTCTACCTGAACCTGGCCCTGTCGGACCTGCTGCTGCTGCTGTCCCTGGCGCTGCGTGTTCACTACCACTTCAACGGGAACAACTGGATATTTGGGGAAATCTCCTGCCGGCTTATCACGGCCTTGTTTTATGGCAATGTTTACAGTTCAGCACAAACTATAGCGTGCATCAGTCTGAAGCGCTACCTGGCTGTGGTCAGGCCGTTTTTGTACAGAAGGCTGGCTAAGACTACCCTGGCAGTGTGGACGTGCTTGGTTGTATGGTTCCTGTTCGGGGCTGCCATTGTGCCTGAGCTCATGGTCAGGCAGAGCTACCAGGTTATCCAGCTGGGGGTAACCACCTGCCATGATGTACTTCCCCTAGAAGAAAAGTCACACTCCTTGCTGGCATCATACCGGCTGATGCTGGTGTGTCTGGGTTTTATAGGGCCCTTTCTGATTTGTATCTATGCCCATGTGGCCGTGGTATACCACCTCGGGCAATCTCGCTGTGACTGGAAACCGTTCATCAGGGTCAGCACTCTAGTTTTCATCATCTTTGCGGTGTGTTTCTTGCCTAGCGGCATCCTGCATATCGCCCACTACATCCGCCTGTTTTCCAGTGGGGACGACAGACTGTACGGATACTACAGAGTAGCGGTGTGTCTCTGCTGCTTCCACAGTTGTCTGGATCCCTTCCTGTGTACGCTCATTTCCAAGATGGCAGCCTCAGAACTACAATTCATCTCTCTCCGCGGGATATCTCGGAGGCCGACTGTTACGACGTGAGACCGGCTGCGTGAGCACAGAAAAAGCTTCTCCTAGCTGGAGCATTGTTGGGAACCAGCAGGGAAGCGCAAGCACAGAAACAAAGATGGTGAAGTTAAAACTGGACGCTGTGAATCCCAGGGCGATACTGCGATCTCTGCTGGGTCTAAAACAACACAGAGCTTTGTGAAGTTTTAGGAATATTAGGATCAGGAAGGGAACATTTTCACTGTGAATCCAATACAAACCTATCATGTCAACCCAGTAACCCTGGCTTGATGACACACAATTGTCAACAATAATCTTTTCTCTTTGCCATGTTAAAAGCCAGAATTAAATACAAAATATATACACACACAACTATTCCCTCTTGGCCTTATTGTTCTTAATTACATATAATATGTACATAACGGTTGTAGATCAACATTTAGCTTTTCACATTCATAATGATGCAGAAATGTAGATTGGAGCCTGCTGTGGAAATCCAACAAAACTAATGATTAGAATGAGATTCGGTTGTAAAATGTAATGACAACACCGGTTTATCCAGCCATAAAGGCTTCTTTTTTAAAATATTTTGCTCTTTGAGATTATAAGAGGAAGAACAACACATCCTTTTTGCATGAATGTTATATAAATAGAGTCACAATACCTGGCAGAGGAGTCGCTTGGTATGTTGAAGGACATCATGGTAGTGTTTGGCTGTGACTGCGTTCACCCCGGTCAACTTGGCTGTAGGGAGGAGCAGCGCTGCAAGCGTCTGATGATGATCACCTGAGTTAAGTGCCTCATTGATCTCGGCTAAAGCTATGATGCCTGGAAGTACAAGACAACAATACATTTGATCATTCAATGCGTTTCATTTATTGTGTGTATTTAAATAATTATCACTGTAGGATCACAGATAAAATAAAATCATTTCCAAGGTTTGAAACTGCTGCCTTAAAAGTCTTTGAATGTCCAAAAGCTACACCACTTAAAACATAAGCAGGAAACAGCAATGCTTTCTTACATTCATGCTCCTCGTGGACTTGAACGTTGACTGTGTCGATGCATTTCTGAACATCATTCCAGGTGAGAAACTCTTGGCCCTTGGCAAGAGCCTCGCCTCGCAGTTCGATCAGAGTGTCAGCATACCTGAGGGAGAGGTCCATGAAGAAGTTACACACATCAGCCCATCCTTATGTTGGCAAAGTTACAGCACAGAGAGAACTACACTGGAGTGAAGTGATGGGCAACCTGAAGACATTACACATGTAACTTTTTTTATCCAATTCATTTTATTCTCCTAAAACCATCCTGCACCACCATCATTTAACTTCAGTGAGCGCCACAGTTGCAGGAACAACAAAACGGTAATCACGAAAGAGAACTCGATCGCTACCAGCATCACTAAACCTGAAGGCAGGGCGATTACAGGTCTAACGTTACGGAACAACTCAGCCATCTTTACCTGTTCAGGTTGTCTTGATCCATGTTGGTGAAGCCCAGAGGAGAGTCTGTCAGTTGCTCAATCACAGCCTGGGGGTCTTTGGTTTCCAGCACCTCATTCAGCACTGCTACAGCTGACAGCATCTCCACAGCTACACTCAGCTCCTCATGGCTCAAGCCAGACTAACAAACATAAAGGTCTGAATCACTAGCCTGAAGTGACATGTAACTACAGTACACATATTGCACTGACCCATTTCAGCATGCGAGTCCACATATGAAAGAGTCAAAATTGCAAACATGATGTCTCACCCGTCCCCCTTGTAGCTGTAAACTAAAAAGCTCAGCCTGATAGAGGTTGGCCGCACTTTGGTAGACGATTGGCAGTTGTGCCTCAGGGTTCATCAGCTCCTCCACCGTCTCCACTGCATTGCCGAGACGAATGGCTGTATTGATCACTGCAACTGCCTCGAGTTCTGGTCAAGAAAAGGATCACAGGTAGTCACGTCATGCAGGCAACCCATGTCAGTAATACAATTACATTTCTTCCTACCCATGTCAGTAATACAATTACATTTCTTCCTGGCTTTACAATTACTCATTTTAAAGACTAATCATGAGATGTACTGTGCAATAGAACATAGACTTGACACGTTTGCTTTGAGAAGCTTGCTAATGCGTACATATGTGATTATCAACTGACCAGCAAATATGAGTTAATACACATCTACGGTTAGCAACAAAAGTAGCTTACTTCGTTTCTCTGCCTCAGCACAGTCATTACAAGAGCTGACAACTCTCTGAATCTCCTCTTTGTCCACCATCACAGTCCTCCCTCCATCCTGCAACACAAAGATTAGCACTCACTAGAGAGATACCACCAAGGTCCCATTACTCAGCATGTTTTAAAGCAGGGCAAAGTGGAGGGCAGAGTGTCTGGTGGTGTCCATTCCAAATTAAGTTATGGTGGCCGATTAGCTTTTTTGTAAGTTGTGGATGGACTGTTCTTAATAGGACAATGTCTTCACTCGCTGAGTAGTTACAGCAGCATATCAGCAACAGCTAAAGTCCTTCATCAGTGTCTACACTACATCTGTTCAGCCAATGAAGTGACATGTGCTCACAGCAGGACTTAACAAGTGGAAGCCGGAGTATACCTTGGATTTATGTTGGCAGTAGGTGGTAAAATGATCCAGGTACCAGCGACTGTTTGACTCCTGAACACCCAGCAGGCCCAGAGCTTCAAGCCTAAGTGAAGCCAACAGAGCAGTCTCGTCCTGGGTCGACACCGCTTGATTCACCTGCCGTACTGCTGCCTGGACTGGACAGGAAAAAACAAGGCAGATGTAATTTAGGGATCATTTGTTTCTTTTCCTGAATCAAACCAATCTTATGGAATGTATAGATATTAACTGCAGTAAAGTGTTTTCATGCAAAAAGAAATGCATTCATGGTACTTGACAGAATTTAAAAAAAAGAAGAAGTCCTTACTGTTGACAAAGTCAATGCAGCCCTGGATCTCCTGGTGAGTCAGCAGCTCCTCATAAACATCTCTTTCTTCAGTAGCAATCGATGAGCGCTAATTGAGGGGGACAAATATATAAATATATATTTAGGATATACATAGCACTTATTTTTTCTCTGATCACATTAATTGTTTCCCCATTCATACTGATGAAGTTGAATTGCTGCCTTCACATTTCAGCTATTAAGCTCCTGTTTGTACAGTATTTATAAAGACAATGGGAGACGAGAAGCCGGGCGATCTGGAGGGTTTGTGTTTGGTGAAGTAGAGCCGACACTGCAGCCACTGGAATGTGCTGGCAAGGCCTATAGAGTGAGTCAGTGCAGGCAACCCCTTTCAAAGCTCAGTGTAGTTGTTATAGTTGTCAGTAGTAGACACTGCAGTCAGAAATATCGGCTCAGAGCAACAGTTTGAATTATTTCCATTACTCAAACTTGGTCTCGATGTTTAATAGTCTTCGGCATTTATGTAACTGAATATCTGACTAGTCCAAAAAACAAGTGAATAGAGAGAGATAGGAATTGGTGAGCAAGAGAGAAACTTCAGTAAACAAACTTTGTTACAAAGACGGTAAAAGTCTAATCAACCCTTCTATACAAGGAAAGCAGATAATTAACCAAACATTGTTATATAAATGATGACGGTGAAACACAAGAGGTCCCTGGCTCCTCACCCTTCCTGAGGACTGATCCCGCTTGCGAGCCTTGGCCTGGCTCAGTGTGTCTTGGTAGTCTTGGGCCAGAGCTTCCTGGTTATTCCTCAGCATTGCGTTCGGATTATTCAGGGCTCCCATTGTCACAGATGTCTGACCTCTGTCAACCGCTTCATTGATGGCAATCACAGCAGCATGCACTAACAACAACAGTGTGTGTGAACATTTCAGTGCTGGCCACAAAGATATTAGGAAACAACACAAACAAAATGATCCAGAGATTAGTTACAACGTCAGAGGACTTACAGGCAGCTTCATCCACTGAGAGCTCATTGGCCAAGATTCCTCCAATCTTACTGAAAGCTGGCATTTGAATGCCATACTTCTCCAGCTCACTCCTCATGTTACTGATCTCTTCCTCTAGAAGACAGATATACACCGATGTCAGGGGTTATAGAGCAAAGCATAGTAAAAACTAAAATATACATATATTATATAATTAATATCATTCTCTTTGCTTTGGCATAATCATCAAATGAAAATCATGATTCTCAAAACACTTTCATTATAAATCTAGTTTTTCTGAGGACCTGTATAACTCTGACATGTTCATAACTGTGCTCTCTATGTAAATCTTCACAAACACGTTAATTAAAGTTAGTTTGCAAAGAAAAAAACAATCCAATGTCAAGAGCTTTGAAGCTTGGTAGTGTGTGTGTGTGTGTGTGTGTGTGTGTGTCCTATTGAATGGCTGCAGGGGATATTTTGATAAACTGAAATGTTGGATAATTCAAAAATCTAAATTACAGATAAGATGTTTATAAAAATCTTCATAAAATGGTTCATGCTTGAGAGAACATGATAACATTATTTTGTGTTGTTCAATTATTTTCCAACAGGACTAGCTAATAAAATGACCTCCCACACAAAGAGGATTCTCATTATATGAATGCACAACTAGGTGCGTACACAACAGTAAAATACTGTATAAGCTATATAAGCCCTAAGGAAACATTTATTCTTCATTTTAAAAGCAATTACTAATGCAACGAATAACTTCTATTGTTTAAAAAGGTGCATGTTATTGTATATCGCTCAGTTTCAGGAGAAGCCAATTTCCACTGGTGTTACCTGTGAAGGCCACTTTCCCCAGCAGGTCCTGGATCTGTGGTGCAATGCCCAGTTTGTAAAGGTACAAGCTGAAATAAACCATGAGATTTAGACCATGAGATTCTCATATTTTTTGCACACACACACACACACACACACACACACACACACACACACACACACACACACACACACACACACACACACACACACACACACACACACACACACACACACACACACACAAAACCAGTTTTGGACCCTTTTCCTTCATGGTTGTTGCTCCTCGTGGCCTTTAATTGCAGCCTGTCACATGTAAACCACAGGGGGGTGGTGTTGGCTCACATTACAAAAAGCACCATCTGACAGCAACCAGCCGGCTCAGTCCACCAATGAGCATTGAAATCAACAGGCAGGTGGCTGGAAACTTCATAAAACTTTCATCTTCCCGCGGGTACCCGATAAGTGGTAATGAATTATAGATAATTAAGGCAGGTCTGAGTGGAACAGTAGTAGTAGCTGGTTATTCTGCCCTTAAGTCACAGTGAGTGTGTAAACATGAACATGTACTCTGTCCTTGGGACACAGGGAGCTGTAGACAACTATCTGAACTATGCTTAAACAAAGGGTAATGTTTTAACAAGCAGCGGATTCAGTCTGAGATACAAACACAGTAACAGCTGACCGGGATTAATGAAGGTGGTCGATTACAAGTCACAGGGGTTACTGACAATCAGCTGACTAGCTATCTCCAGACTGAGGATCCTCCTTGTTTATTTCAATGTGTTCCTCTTCCTTTTAGACAACAAACTACTCTACCACTTTGTCGTTATGTTTTAAAATCCACTTGTAAACTATGCTCTTTCCCCATTACATTGTGTTCCCTTTCTAAGTTTCCACTACACTGAATGTGCAGGAGCATCCGCTGCTTTGCCTCCATGCTTTTGTACCCAGGGAAGTAGAGTATTCAGTGGGTCCTTGTGGGACGCAAGCTGGACCCGTAGGAAGGAAGAGCACGTGTGTGCATAAAGAGGGAAGGAAACCAATTCTCTCAGGACCCGAGCGAAACACTACAACAGAAAAAACAATCCAAGCAGCTGACATAACCACTCCCGAAATCTGTGTTTGGCTGACTGGAAGGATCAGATGGATAAAATTGACCTTTCAGTTCACCTCAATAGAAAAAGCGATTCTCCAGCCACCCAAGTGACAGTAA